ACACCCCCCTTACGAGTCCTCGCCCCCACCTCTTGGACGCCCCCCAGTTCTGGTGCTGGGGGTGATCTCTCGGCCACCTAAGAAGGCATAATGTCAAAGCCGTCACCGAGGTCGGGATCATCTCCCCTCGGTGGCGGCGGCCGCAGATACGGCTGTTTGTGCTGAGCCTCCGACAATATGGCGACGAAAAGACAACGGTCTCGCGCACGAGGACAGACATGGCGAGCTTAAGCGGTGGCTTGCGCGGGCCGCCGACGCGGCAGGCCACCCTTGGAAACGAGGGCTCCTACGCGCCATCCTACGCGGACAGTTCACGCGCGAGTGTCCGCGAATCGACTCCGTTCCAATCCATCGCTCATTTTTTTGAAGACCCAGATCTTGGATGAGCCTTCATGGGAGCCTCTGTGGACCTCCGCGGTCCTATCATAAACGTGATTTCCATCGGCTTTCGTCCAAATTACGACCACCCCTCATCACCATTTCGTCCAAATTTCGTCCAGACTGTCCAGAACTCGTCCAAAAGTCGAACAAATCCGACGAAGATCCGGACGAGCCGCAATGAATTTTGGGACCCTCTGAGTCTCCCGTGAACAACTACACAACAAATCTCTTCCTGGGGAAACTCAAAGGTACTGATACCGCTACTCCCCGGACCAGAATTTCTAGGCGAATCCAGCGGTGGCGACGAGGGTCTCCCAGGAAGCCCAAAACGGCGAAGACCAGGGAAGGGTAGCGGTATGGGTACCTTCAGACGAAGCCAGGACGAAGGTAATATCGGGTGAGGATGCATCGATAATCTCTGAGATCCGGCGGCTCTGGAGCATGTCTCGGGCGCCGCGGTCTTCTCTCAGAGCGGTCCGAACGCTCTGAGGGCGCTCCGGAACGCTCTGGAACGGACTTATCCTCGCCCTAGCCCCGTCCAATACTTGTTCCTCCCCAGACATCCGGCTGCTCTATTTTTTTCGATATGTGGGCCCAAGAGGTCCCGACCACTTCCCTAGGGCCAGTTTTTCGTACTAAATAGTTCCCAGCCGTCCTGTGGTGTTGTGTCCTCGTTTTGAAGAAACGATCCCCGCGTCTCCTTCTCCTCCTCTCGTGCTCCCCCCCCGTGGGGGTACCACATCCACATGCGTCTGCCACACCCAGTACAGCGTTTCGTGGCCCCATAAGGAGCTCCTCGTAAGGAAGGCCCCAAGGGGGGGGGGGGGGCACTTGCGTCCGCCACACCCAGTACAGTGTTTCGTGGCCCCATAGGGAGCTCCACCGAAGGCCCCAGGGGGGGGTGTATCACATGCGTCTGCCGCACCCAGTACAGCGCTTCGTGGCCCCATAGGGAGCTCCACCTAAGGCCCCAGGGGGGTGGGTACCACATGCGTCCGCCACACCCAGTACAGCGTTTCGTGGCCCCATAGGGAGCTCCACCGAAGGCCCCAGAAGGGGGGTGTATCACATGCGTCTGCCGCACCCAGTACAGCGCTTCGTGGCCCCATAGGGAGCTCCACCTAAGGCCCCAGGGGGGGGTACCACATGCGTCCGCCACACCCAGTACAGCGTTTCGTGGCCCCATAAAGGGGCTCCACCGAAAGCCCCAGGGTGGGGTACCACATGCGTCTGCCACACCCAGTACTGCGCTTCGTGGCCCCATAGGGAGCTCCACCAAAGGCCCCAGTGGGGGGTACCACATGCGTCTGCCACACCCAGTACGGCGTTTCGTGGCCCCATAGGGAGCTTCACCTAAGGCCCCAGGGGGTGGTACCACATGCGTCCGCCACACCCAGTACGGCGCTTCAAGGCGCCATAAGGAACTCCACCTAAGGCCCCATTGGGGAGCACGACATGCGTCTGCCACACCCAGTACGGCGTTTCGTGGCCCCATAGGGAGCTCCACCTAAGGCCCCAGGGGGGGGGGGGGGGCACATGCGTCTGCCACATCCAGTACGGCGCGTCGTGGCCCCATAAGGATTTCCACCTAAGGCTCCAGTGGGGGTGGCCACATGCGTCCGCCACACCCAGCACAGCGTTTCGTGGCCTGTGGGACCGTACGCATGCGTCCCGCACGCACGATATGGTATTTTCACCCCCCCAATACAACGTTTCGTGGCCCCATAGGGAGCTCCACCGAATCCCCCAATGGGACCGCCCACATGCGTCCCGGAAGCTCAATTTGGCATTTTCACCCACCCAGTACAGCGTCGCATGGCCCTATATGGAGCTCCACCGAAGCCCCCAGCGGGGCCGCCTACATGCGTCCCACACACCCAATCTGGCATTTTCACCCACCCAGTACAACGTTTCGTGGCCCCATAATGAGTTCACCGAAGCTCCCAGCGGGACCGTCCGCATGCGCCCCGCACACCCAATGTGGCATTTTCACCCACCCAGTATAACGTTTGGTGGCCCGATTAGGAGCTTCACCGAAGCTCCACTGGGGGACCGCCCACCTGCGGCCCAGAAACCAAATTTGCATTTTCACCCAACCAGTACAACGCTTCGTGGCTCCATAGGGAGCCCCACCGAAGCCCCACCGAAGCCCCCAGTGGGACCGTCCGCATGCGCGTCGGAAGCACAATTTGGCATTTCACCCACCCAGTGCAGCGCTTCGTGGCTCCATAAGGAGCTCCATCGAAACCCACAGTGGGACCGTCCGCATGCGTCCCACAGACCCAATTTGGTATTTCCACCCACCCAGTATAACGTTTCGCGACCCCACGAGAAGCTCGACCGACGGCCCCAATGCTACCGCCCGCATGCGCTCCCCCCCCGCCCAGTGCAGCGCTTCGTGGCCGCATAGGGAACTTCACCGAAAAAGAGATTCACAATTGCGGTACCCACAACTGCATGTGGTTGGGCCCTTCGCCAATATATTTGTTTGACGTTCTGGATGCCCGGCGAGGGCTCCCAAAGGCCGAACATGGCCAAAAACCGTCAGCTTCAATTTTTCCCAACCGTCATGTGGTGTTGTGTCCTCTGGGGGGTACCACATGCGTCCGCCACACCCAATACAACGCTTCGTGGCCCCATACGGAACTCCATCGAAGGCCCCAGGAGTGGTGGCCACATGCGTCCGCCACAACCAGTACAGCGCTTCGTGGCCCCATAGAAAGCTCCACGTAAGGCCCCACTGGGGGTGGCCACCTGCGTCCGCCACACCCAGTACAGCGCTTCGTGGCCCCATAGGGAGCTCCACCCAAAGCCCCAGTGGGGATGGCCACATGCGTCTGCTACACCCATTACAGCATTTCGTGGCTCATAGGGAACTCCACCCAAAGCCCAAGTGGGGGTGGCCACATGCATCCCCTACACCCAGTACGGCGTTTCGTGGTCCCACAGGGGGGTCTACCTAAGGCCCCAGTGGGGGGGGGCACCTGCGTCCGCTACACCCAGTACAACGTTTCGTGACCACATGAGGAGCTCCACCTAATGGCCCAGTGGGGGTGGCCACGTGCGTCCGCCACACCCAGTGCAGCGCTTCGTGGCCCCATAGGGAACTCCACCGAAGGCCGCAGTTGGGGTGGCCACCTGCGTCCGCCACACCCAGTGCAGCGTTTCGTGGACCCATAATGAGCTCCATCGGAAACCCCAGGAAGGGTGGCCACATGCATCCGTCACACCCAGTACAGCGCTTCGTGGCCAATGGGACCGTCCGCCTGCGTCCCGCACGCCCAATTTGGCATTTTCACCCAGTCAGTACAGCGTTTCGTGGCCCCACACGGAGCTCCACCGAAGCCCCCAGTGGGACCGCCCGCATGGGTCCCGCACACGCAATTTGACACGTTCACCCCACCCACCCAGTACAGCGCTTCGTGGCCCCAGTAGGGAGCTCCACCTAAGGCCCCAATGAGACCGTCCACATGTGTCCCGGAAACCCAATTTGGCGTTTCCACCCACCCAGTACAACGCTTCGTGGCCCCATTAAAAGCTCCACCGAAGCCCCCAGTGGGACCGCCCGCATGCGTCCCGCACACCCAATTTAGCATCTCCACCCACCAAGTACAGCGTTTCGTGGCCGCATTAGGAGCTCCACCGAAGCCCCCAGTGGGACCGTCCGCATGCGCCCCTGGAACTCCATTTGGCATTTTCACACTCCCAGTACAGCGTTGCGTGGCCCCATTAGAAGCTCCACCGAAGCCCCCAGTGGGACCGTCCGCAGGCGTCCTGGAAGCTCAATTTGGCATCTCCACCCACACAGTACAGCGTTGCGTGGCCCCATAGGGAGCTCCACCGAAGCCCCCAGTGGGACCGTCCGCATGCGTCCCACACACCCAATCTGGCAGTTTCACCCACTCACTACGGCGTTTCGTGGCCCCATACGGAGCTCCACCGACGGCCCCAGTGCTACCGCTCGCATGCGTTCCCCTCCACCCAGGGCAGCGCTTCGTGCCCCCATAGGGAACTTCACCGAAGAAGATATTCACAATTGCGGTACCCACAACTGCATATGGTTGGGGCCTTCGCCAAGATAATTTGGAGCGTCGGATGTCTGGGTTCTCTGACTTCCGTCGCTCATGTGGGAAGAGCTGAGCAGGGACCGACCGTCCCGGCATTCCTATAGGTCTACCACACCATCCTCTTGGAACCCCCAAATCTGCTGATAACTAATGCGATGTGTTCTGCGAGCATCAACACGATGTGCCAAAACAAAACGGTCCCAGCCAGAAATGCTCTATAAGAGCATTTCGTAGAAGCCACAAGACAAATTCTTAGAGCACTGCTTCGTGGTCCCGTAGGCACGCCAGGGCGCTTCGCCACTGCTTGAAAAAAGCCAGATCCCGTCCGCGCGCGCGGAGCTGAGGGGCAACGATAGGGTGGGGGCTGGCATAGGGGAGGGATGCATAAGCCTGGAATCGGCGATACATCGCCGATAGATCGGCGATAGGCCCCCGATAGTGGATCCGAACCTTCCTGTGCAGGTTGGGGCTATCGGGCCCTATTGGCAATCAGTGGGCGATTGGGGGTCGATGCGTCCCGCCCTCTGCCTATGTCCCCCTATCGCTGCCCCCGAGGAGGAGCCGCGGCGCTTTTCGCTCTGCGCCGGCCGTGGCCGCGCTTCGCAGCGCAGAGGATGCGCGCGGCTCGAGCGCGCAGCGCAGCGCCACGCGCGCGCGGCGAGCCAGCGCTCGGGTGCTGCTGGAAGTGCCCCCTGGCCCAAGGTGTCCCCTGGAGGAGGAGGAGGAGGAGGAGGAGGAGGAGGAGGAGGAGGAGGAGGAGGAGGAGGAGGAGGAGGAGGAGGAGGAGGCGGAGGCGGAGGCGGAGGCGGAGGCGGAGGAGGATGAAGAAAATGGAGCCACGAATGAAACAGATGTATCACAAACCTCGCGTGTGGTACGACTGCGACCAGCCAGCTGCCGTGGAAGAGAGGGTACAAGGTGGAGCCGACATGCCCGTTGTGCGGCCTGTGCGACACTGTTTGCCATATGTTGCGGTTCTGTCCCCATGGGGACCCAGCCAGTGAGAGTGGATACTGTTAATTTGGAGGCCGCTCGGAACTCCGCTGGGAAGGACCAGCCCGCTGTACACCCACCTATGGATACCTGTGCCCGAGATAGAGAAGCCCGCACCCGACTAGGACATCATAGAGAAGATCGACAGGGCAGGCGAAATTGACGAGCTCGATTTCACGTGCCCCACTGAGATTTTCATAGACGGGAGCTGGCTGGAATCGGCCCAGCCCATCCTGGCCCGTGCGGGCTGGACGGCTGCCGAAATCACGGCTGGAGGCGATCTGAAAAGAGCTGTTCGGGGTCCACTGCCTAGACGTTTTCCCCAAAGTGCGACCGGGGCAAAACACCACGCGCTCCTTCAGGCCATGAAGCACCTCTGGCAGGACCCAGGTAGGTTCGACGAAGAGGCGGATGGGTTCGCCGACTTCGGAGCCCTCATCACGGGCTGCGCGTTCAGTTTCAGAGCGCTGCATGGCACCCCGCAGCAAGCGGGGCACTGGCGCCAGATTCAGAGGCTAGATCAGCAGTTCACGATCCATGAGGTAAAACGGGCCACAGGTCCCTGGAACGGGGGGACAAATTGTGTGCCAAACAATTGTTTAGTGTATGGTGTAATTTCTGGGCTGACACCATGTGTCGTGAGGCCGCGTGTCAGTTCGCCTCTCCCCAGGACGCTACACATGCGACGGATTCCTTAGATGGCGGGCTTGCGGTTTTCAAAACTGCAATTTCTATTATTGAGGTCTGGCACACTGCCAAACAAAATGCACAACAGTCTGTATAAGAGAACGTTCCCTGAGGCCGCCCCCCAAGATGTAAAGCAACACGATGTATTGTGGAATGGTCGTCTCTGGCAATGTTTGGCTTGCCCCAAAAGTTTCCGACCCCCGCCGCCCAAGTCGGCTAGGTGTTATGTGTTTCCCTCTTTTTCTCGGGGCTTGAATCCGAAGTATGGGAACCCAAAACCCGAGGGCCCAACTCTGGGCGGCCCCTATTTTTACCGCGGGGATTCCTGTTGTGCATTGCCCCAGGTGCGGTTTCTACTGTTCCAAAGCGCCCAGGCATCTCCTGGGCCCGTGCAGGAACAAAAAGCCCGCTCAGGTTCGATGTTTCCGACGAGACGGGCTGCCTTGGCCAGCCCTTTCCCGCCCGTGGAGAATCTTCCACAGCGCCGCGCATTGGTGGAGGGACGCTGGTGGAACGGGTGGGGAGGGGCACGCCGAACAGCTGTCGGAGGCGGGCGGTGAACTTTGTTTCAGAGGCGGGCGAAGGAACCGTTCTGGCTGTCTCGCAGGAGCTCCTGAAAAGGATGGAGGCAGGAGGAGCAACAGGAGGAGGATGAGGAGGAGGAAATAGATGAGAAAGAGGAGGAGGAGGAAGAGGAGGAGGAAGAGGAGAAACAAACACATGAGCAGGGGGAAAGAGGAGGAGGAGGAGGAGGAGGAGGATGAGGAAGAGGAGGAGGAGGACGAGGAGGAGGACGAGGAGGAACGTTGCCCCCCCGCGAGGCCCGTGACCAGCGGGCCCCAGGAGCTCCACCAGGGAGCGAAGCAGCCCGCGGGGGGACTCCCTTTGCCAGGGTTCGGTCGGGCATGTCCTAGAGGCGGATTTCGGACGAGAAATAACAACGATTCAAACATTTTCACATATAGCCAAAAGACAAAACTCGCCCCCTGACTCATCATGATCTTCATCCTCCTCCTCCTGTTCATCCTACTCCGTTGCCTCCGTTCCCACTTCGCATCATCATCCTCACCGCTCGCCGTCGTCGCTGGTCATGACCGGCGTCGTGCGCTTCCTGCAGCAACGGGAGCGTCCCGGATCGGCGGCACTGGCCGGAGGCCACTACAATAAAAACACAAGTCGTCCCCATACTATTTTTTGTTATTTGGTATATGCCTCCTGCAGAAGGACAAGCCCGATTTAAGGCCAGGGGGCGCCCCCTGCGGCAGCCCCCCGAGGTACGGCCCCGGAGGCCTCAGCCCGCGCTGGGCAGCGGCGCCGGCACGCCGCCCTCGGCGTCGGCGGGGTGGTAAGGGCCCGCCCCTGGCGGGCCAGTCTCTCGCGGCGGGCGGGGGCCTCCTCTTCCTCCTCCTCCTGTTCCTCCTCCCCCTTTTTCCCCCTTCCTCCCCCTCCCTCCCCGCCCGTATAATAAGGATGCTCGATAAGGTGCGAGGGCCTTGGAGGGTCCTTTCGAAGCTTCTCGAGCGGGGCGCGGCCAACGAAAGTGGCCAGGGATGGACCGAGGAGGCAAGGGTGCAAGGGTACCCTTGGGAAGGCTGCCCATCCTTATTATGCGGGTTGACCGTGACCAAGAAAGGAACCCGAAACCTTTGGGAGGGGATCTGAGTCAGGAAGGCCAAACACATTAGGGATAGGGGGGTCTTTATATGCAGATGTAGCAGACCAGCCCGCCCAGAATTATCATCCCCAACGCGAAGACGGGAATCTCAGTCAGACCATGTCTTTATCGTGTTATTAAGGTTCGGGGTTCTTTTGTGCCTGGTGATCTGGCACTGCAATCCAGATGGGCTCGCAGACCTATGATTGACCCCAAAGGGGGTCCGGCTGAAAGGGGGTGGCGCAATAGGCTTGGGGCCATTGTATTGCAAGTGTGCAAGTGTAACTATTGCGCCAGAGAGTTGCATTGCATTGTATTGCAGCTAATGCAGTGCACGCGAAAGCCCAGCAATACATTTTCGCACTGGAATGCATTGTACGCAAATCTGTTGTAACCCCACAAATCCATTACACCAAATCTATTGCACCACCCCTTGCCGCTGGACCCGCTTTTGGGTCAACCAGAAGACCCTGACATCCTGGTGCCATGCAAACAGAGCGGCGAAAAGAACGGGTTCGCTGGGGTCGCTGCTCTCCAAAAGAGTTCCGGGGTGGGCAAGATTGCAACGACGCTTCCCCATCTCCGCAGCAATTTGCCTAACCGCAGAAGGTCCTGCTAGCAGCACGCATTCTGCACTGCATACGCGCTGAATCCAGGACAAAAATCATCAGGTCTTGCGCGAGAAGACATGACGACCTGACGCCGCGGCTTATGCGGGCCGCCAGCGCGGCACACCACGCGGAGAAGAAAACTCGTCGGCGCGGCCTCAAATGGGAACCCTACCCGCGAATGTCCGCGCAGTTGGACCCGGTTTTTCCATCGCTCAAATGACGGCGAGAGCTTTTTGGCAGTTTCAGGCCTCCGGGGGCCCTCACCGGGCCTTGGGACTTTTTTAAACAGCAACTCGGAAAGAAATCGGTCCTGGTGAAGTGGTCCAGGCCGTGAGAAAATACCCAGGGAGGATATCTTGGGAGTCGGATCGTATCAACAACAGATCGCATCGCGCATCCGGATCGTCGCTGAAACGGATCGGGATCGGATCGCTCGGAATCGCGGATCGGGCTCTCCCCCCGCGAGCCGAGGAAGGACCCGGTTCGCGTCGGACTGGATCGGACCGAAATCGAGATCAAGACACGTGGGTCGGATCGGATCGGACCGCGGCCAGCCCTGCCCACTCCCTCCCGCTTCCCAGCGGCCGCCCGAGGTTGGCGAGGAACCCCCTGGTAGACGGTAGACTTTGAGCAGGGATCGACCGTCCCGGCATTCCTATAAGCCTACCGCGAAATAACACAAGTTTGTTCGAATAACATTATCCCAGTGCGACCCTACCTAGGCGTTGGAGGATCTAGGACAGCAACATCTATATGAAGCCAAGCTAAGCTAAGATGAAGCTAAGGTCAGATGACATAAGCTAAGCTAAGATGAGAGAAGCAACGCGAAGCTAAGGGGACGTCACTGGGGGAACTGCGGGGCGGATGCCGGGGGAACCGCCCGGGACGGGCCCCATTGCCCGGCCCTTTAAGCTTAGCTATGCTATGCTAAACTGCGCTATGCGATGCTATGCTATGCTATGCTATGCTGCGCTATGCTATGCCATGTTTGGCTATGTTATGATATGCGATGTTATGCCAATGCAGCGCTGCGCTATGCTAAGTTAAACTCAGCTAAGCTAAGCTAACCCTCTAAGCAGAGCCTAGGTAGGGAATTACACCTATGCTATGCTATGCGATGCTGCGCTATGCTATGCTACGCTATGGTATGATATGCTGTGCTCTGCTATGCTAAAGCTCAGCGAAGCTAAGATGAAGGTAAGCTAAGCTAAGATAAAACTGAGGTAATATGAAGCTAAGCTAAGGTAGTATGAAATAAGCTAAGCTAAGATGAGATAAACAACGCGAAGCTAAGGGAACGTCACTGGGGGAACCGCGGGGCGGATGCCGGGGGAACCGCCCGGGGCGGGCCCCACTGCCCGGCCCTTTAAGCTACCGAGTAAGAACCCTTCTAGGCAGAGCCTAGGTAGGGAAAAACAATGTTCTTAGAACTTAAGCCCGGTGTGTTAAAACAAGACTGTCCCGGCCAGAACAGTTCTAAGAACTTGTCGCGCGGACTACAACATGATATTATAAGATGTTTTGGTAGGCCTATAGGCGAACTAGGAGGCTTCGCCATTGCTTGAAGAATGGAGGTAGGACTAGAGAGACATGAGACAAAACACACAGGCATAACAAAGAACACAAAGTCCAACAGACACGTCACAGCCTTGTGGCCTCCACGGGGGCTGGCAGATTTTGTCACAAGTCGATGCATCGTTGCGCACGGATATGAGCTCGCAGGTACTTGGCGCGAGTTACTCCTGGATGAATCCTACCAGACCCCTGGACGTAGGTGGTTCAACAAGTTTGTTTTGTCCAACTACCTTCTTCCCCTGTTGGCAGTGGCTCACCAATCTACCCTTCCCCGCACCCCTCCGCCAAGTTTGGACGGGAGGGCCCGAGGTGTCAGGGGGTCCGTGTTGGCCCAAAATGGCTCCAAGACGGCCGTAATGCGCTCAAGATGCCCTCCAAGAAAACTCTCGGGCAATCCAGTGCGCTGATGACCATGACGGTGACCATGACGATGACGATGGCGATGATGACTTTGATGACGATGATGATGATAATGATGATGACGACGACGGTGATGATGCTGATGCTGATGATGCTGTGGGGCTCTCTCGAGGCCATCGGGTACTTTTTGTGCAGAAGGGCGGCGGCGCACGAGAGCAACGGCAAGCCTCGAAGCACAGACTCGGTCAGCAAAGCACAGAACAGTTAAACTTCGGCTCAAGTTGGGCGGGAGGGCCCAGGGAAAAACTTGAGCAAGGAGGTGCGGCCACATGCAAACCCACAAATGCCGACAAGTCGCTGTATGCGGGGCTCTCTCGAGGCCATCGGGTACTTTTTGTGCAGGAGGGCGACGGCGCACGAGCGCAACGGCAAGCCTCGAAACACAGACTCGGTAACTCACGCTAGTCCCAGCAAGTGGCCACAGCCGCAGCACTTCATTGACCACACATTTTCTTGTATCTAGCGGCACGAGATACTTGTCGAGCAGCGGCCACTATCATGTCAGTGCCTGCAGTGGCTACCTGACAGGGCAGCCCATGGGCGGAGCAACGTGCAGCGGCACCCAGCGCAGGACGCCCTAGGCCGCCAAGGTGGCGGCGGCCAGTGCGGTCACGCAGGCCTAGGGCGCAGAGGCAACGGCGCGACAGGCAATGGAGAACTCGGACGCCCCACCCGATCAAACACAATCTCTGCCGAACTCGACCCGGGAACGTGCAGGAGTCGAGAGAGCAAGAAGAGGAGGCAGAGGCGAGGAGCGAGGAAAGGAGGGGATGTCGCCAGATCAGGCTTGATTCTGGGTGCCAGAAAATCACGGGCACCTGACGAGCCGTGCACTCACGAATCAACTTAAAGACAGACTCTGCTAGGGCGTTCGCCACGCGAATGGCGCGAAGATTGGCGTCGTCACTGTTGACGCCCTTGAGCGGGGCGTCCAGGCGGCGGCATCGAGCGCCACTGGGGGGCCAAGTCGCAGACGGCAAGGGCGCCCACAGCCCTGAGACGGCCGATGATCGCACCCAGCCCAGCAGAATCTGCAACGCGCGAGGACCCGAGGCGTCCTCTGCGCGATGTCTGGCTAGGTTGATGGCCGCTGTTCCTAGCCCGCGATCCTCGCAGGCCAGTCGAACACGAGGTAGCACGCAGATGCGCAATGTAACGAAGCGCGGCAAAACAGAGGCGCGCAAACGGGCACGCCGCCACAGCCTATTCAGTCGAACCTCCACCGATCGGTCAGCGTGGGCGCCGTCCTCTCTGCAGCCAGCGCCGACGCGGGCGCCAGGGGCGGCGGGCGGAGCGGGGGGGCGCCCGTCCACGCCGTCACCTATATCAGCTGCAGCAGCCTGGCCCCGACCTGGCCGCCGAAGAACACCAGCGCGGGTGAGAGCGGCAGCGACGGGTCGTTCGCGATCACGTTCTCGTCGGCCACCCCCGTCTGGCCAGGCCTGCCGCTGGCTGCCTCGTTGACCAGGCTGGCCCAGAGCTGGTAGCCGTCCTTCGACCCGACCCGCGGGGCGAGGAACGAGGCGGCCGCGAGGCGGTAGGCCTCCCTCGGGCGGAGGCACGCGTCGAAGGCCAGGCGCGCGAACTCCACCTCGGACAGGCGGTCCTGCGCCAGGCGGGCGCCCACTGTCGCGAACATCGCCACCCGAGGCAGCGGATGGCGCATCAGGGGCTGAACGAACTGCGCCCACCCCTGCAGCGCCCGAAATGCCCGCGGCATCAGCCCATTCCCGACCAGCATCGAGGGGAGATGGCACTTCAGGGCGGCCAGCTTGGCGCGGCCCGTCGCGTGGTCGTACCCGTACAGGAACAGATGCACGAGGAACACCGCCAGCACGGTGTCGGGGTCGACGGAGCAGGGGGAGTCTTGCGCGGCCCACAGGCGCCAGCTCAGAAACTTCTGGGCGCGATCGTGGTAGCACCTGCCCGTGGAGGCCGAGACGGCTGACGCCCCCGGCGCTGAGAGACCCCCTCGCGAGAGACTGGAGGGCCCAGGGTGGGTCTTCCGAGCCCTCGCGGCCCTGATCACCTCCTTGGGCTCGACGAGGCCGCCGCGCGACTTGCCCCTCCAGGAAGTCCTCGAAGCTCGGCCCGACGAAGAAGCCCTCCCTCGACGGCTTGTCGGCGACATTCCGCTCAGAGGGCACCCATCGAACCAGCAGCCGCAGCCCGCATGCCAAAGTGGCGCCAGAGAGCCGCCCCAGCGCGCGCGCGAGGCGCGGGCTGCCCGACCGCCCTTTGCCCACCGCGAGGGCTAGAGCCAAGTTGCCAACGAGGCATAGCATGCGATGATGATGGACTCCGAGGGTCCTCGAGGCATGGTGGATGCTGAACCCCAAGGCCTCAGCCTCATACTGCAAAATATCACACCCAAGCCGTGTGTGCCTGCTCGAATGGATCGTCTTCCACCCGTCGAACCCAAAGACAGCCTCGGGAACCTCCAAGAAGCTGGACGTAGCCGACGACGACTCAGCAGCAGCAGGGAGCGACGCGGCAGGAGGAGCATGGTCGGCGACATCCTGATGGGGCTCAGCGGGGCTGAAGGCGTGGGCCCTCGCGAGCACACTGGAGCCCTGGTGGTACCTCCACTTCTCGGCCACGCGGCCTACGTCCGAGACCAGGTCGGGGGGGGGGGGGGGTCACCTTGACGCACGCGCCCTTCCCGTTCGTCGACGCGTCAGACGCGTAGACCCTAGACGACCACCTGGACCTAGTAGAGGCGCTCCAGAGGGGGATCAAGGCAACTGCGGCACGAAGTTCCCTAACCACGGAGTCCCATAGAGGCGCGGGATGAGCGCCCACCACGTTGATGAACCTATAGACTGAGTTGAAGATCGCCAAGACATCCCGCCTCAAGATCATACCCCAAGTACAGTGGCCCACCAGCGCGCTGAGAGCCCCCGCAGAGGCCCGCCCACGTCGTAAGAGTCCGAGTACAGCCTGCCGCGTACGCGCGAGGCGATCAGGCCGAACTCGAGCGACACCCGAGAGACCGTCGATCTGCAAGCCCGTGAAGACAGCCTTGCTGACGGCCTCCGAGAACTCCAGGACGGGCAGGCCTCGGGACGTTAGAAGGTCGGCGACCTCACGAGCACGGCGAGTGACAATCTCAAGGTTTTTTTGACTCGACGCAGAAATTGTCAACGTATCCAGCACATATGGCGTCGGAATGAGAGATAAGCTTACGGGGGCATCCTCCGTCCACGATCATGTCACCACTGTCGAGCCCAGCGTCGGTTAAGGCACGAACGAGGGCGCTCTGACAAAAATGAAGGGCCCAGCTCCAACCCATGGGAACAACTGTGACCAACGGCTGCGCAAAATCGTGGATACCGGCAGGCCTCCCATTGATCGATGTGAGGCCGATGTGACGATTGGAGATCGCGGGCAGCGAGAACAGCGACTCCACCCCTGGGGGCAGGCGCAAATTGTAGAAGGCACATTGTATATCACCTTGCGCAAACACGAAGCTGTCGTCGCAATCGACACTGGCCCACGCGCTAGGCGTGGGAAGCTTGGTGGCTGGCGGCGTGGCGAAACTGCAGTTGGCCAGCCTAGTGTCGAAGACGAGCCTGAGCATGCGGTTGGATTTCTCCACGAAGAATAAACCGATTGTGTGAGACGACTGAGAACTGGCGGCTCTCCACGAGATCACGTCGTGAGGCTCCAGCTGCTTCAAAAATTGGGCGTGCGACTTAATTAGGCTGATAGCGAAGGTAGGGATCGACGCGCGGGCGCTGAATGCCCAGCGCGTCGCGGAGCTCCGCAGCAACCGACCCGGGATTCAGCGTAGTCTGCCTCCAACCCTGCAGCGCGATGGAGTCGGCATCCGAGACGACGTCGGAGGTGGACACAGCCTTCGTCGACTTGGGCCAGGCCACGAGAGGCTGGCTGCAGGGGCGGACCCGACCGCTGTCACCAGCGTAGCCAGGAGCCTGAGCGAGCACCTCTACCAGGGATGCTTCGCAGGCGCTGCCCCTCTCCGAGTAGGCGGCAGGCAGCTCGAACTCCCGATGCAGGCTCGAGAGGTAGTCCACCGAGGCAGCCTGCACGGCGGGCGGGTCACCACCGACCTGCGGGAGGTGCTCGGCGTCGCGGCCACTATGGAGCCAGTTGACAGCAGTGAAACCGTCGTTGCACCACTCGCGCCAGCCCGCACCTTTGGCAGCGCGCAGACGAGCAGCGCGACCCAGCGGAAGATGGCGGCGCCCATCCACAGGAAGAAGAGGTAGCGGAAAAACGTCGCGCTGGCGATCGGCACCACGTATGGGCGCCCCCAGACAAGGCGGAGGCGCGAGGGCCTCGGGGCAAGCCTGGCCAGGCTCACGAAAGACGGGAACGGGCTCGTGAGGCCCCTCCTGGCCAGGGTCCTGAGGGGGTGTCATGGCGCCCGCAAGGCTCGCTCCTCACGAGCCTTGCGGCTTCCTTTCGCGACAGCAGCTTCCATCTTCATCTGATCGGCGATCCAATCCATCAAAGCGGGACAGATGCACAAGTTCCCCTTCGTCTCTCCCGTGCCGAGGAAGTGGCCGACCTCCGAGCCGAAGTCCGCAGCCGCGAGCTCCTTGGCCTGAGCCTTGGCCATCGGCACGGGCTGGATCCTCCGCGCGCGCTCCTCGAGCGCGCGCTCCTCCGCCAACTGAAGATGGCGGGCGGGGTACTCGTAGGAGGCCAGCTCGCATATCACCAGCTGGTCGTGGCAGAGGGCGGTCTCTATCACGCGGCGCAGGGTCTCGTGGAGCTTCGCGCTTTCGTCGGGCTCTCCCAGCCGCGTCATCGCAATCCATCTGTTATGCCATGCCATAGCACCTCCAGCCATGCGTAGCATGAAACCAAGGACCCAGAGCAATGTCCGAGGGCCTCTGACAGGCCAGTCGGCCCTCGCCGTCTCGGTCTGCAGCTTCACCGCGTCGCTGAAAGCGATGTCCCGAAAGCCGCGGCCGTCGAGCACCAGCGCCATCACCCGCGGGTCTCCGACGAGAGGCGGGGCAGCGGCGGCGGGCGCGCCGCCAGGCACTAGGGCCGCGGCGGCGGGCGCCCCAGCGCCTCCGCCCCCGAGGGCGGCCGCCAAGGCACCGACGCCACCAGCTCCAGCGGGGGGGCCAGCAGCTGCAGGGCCGCCTAAGGCGGGCAGCGCGGCGGCGGCGCGCGGGGCTCCCGCCGCGGGGGGGGCGCCGCCTGGCATCCCTGGGCCCCCTGCAGGCGCCAGGGCTCCAGCGCCCGCGCCAGGTCCGACGGCTGCAGTGTCGGGGAGAGGCAGCGCCCCAGCGGCCAGCCCCAGCACGTTGGTGGCGCTCAGGTCGATGCAGAACGGCGACGCGGGCGTCGCTCCGAAACCCTGGGCCGTCGCGCGGGGGAGCGCCGCCCACACCTCAGCAGCCCGAGGCAGCTGCCGAAACTGATATAGGTGCTGAGGCGGTATCCCTGGCAGCCCCTCACCTTGGCCACCGAGAATGTGAATAGATCGGATGTCGTGATTCGGGACAGCGACCTCGGCGTAGTCATCGCCGTCGGGCGTGAGGATGTACCCAGGCAACAGCGTCAGACGCTCGTGGTAGATCGCAGGGCCGCCCACGTTGTACCTCACGAGGTGGAACTGCCCAGCGACGGGCGTCGCCATCCCGACTAGGCTCTGCGAAAGCGAGCGGCCTGCGCTGCCGCCTCCACTGCCAAGTCAGTCGGGCGCGCGTCCGCCTCCAGCGCAAACGGCTTACCCCGAGACGGGGGCGCCGCGCAGCGCGAAGCCCAGCGGGCGAACGACCAGCCGCCCAGCGCGCCGAGGAGCAGCGAGGTGCCCAGCGCAGCGCCCGAAACGCCCGAGGCCACGGCCTCCGAGGGGGCGGCGGTCACCGCACCCAAGCCGTCTGGGCAGCGGCACTCCAGCGCGGGACAATGTAGCGCGGGCGAGCACACACAATCGCAGGCGGGGCACGGAGGCGAACTGCCTCGGACGATGAGGGCGGTGGAGAGTGCACTGGCGAGATCGTGCGTGAGGCGTTCGAACATTGCCTGCATACCCTCAAGAACTTGAGCAAGGAGGTGCGGCCACATGCAAACCCACAAATGCCGACAAGTCGCTGTATGATGGCTGAAAATCGGGGCACGCGGCAAGAAACAGCTGATGGCCGACACCATCCGACGGCCCATTGCCCCTTACCATCGCCCGCGTGGCCTGCCGCCGGCTCTGGCAGCCCGCCCAGCTGCCGCTCCAGCTCTGGCCGCGAGGCCATCTTCGCCAGCTGGAGCGCGTCCAGCCGCTGCGCACCGGGAGGGCCAGGAACGACGACAAGGACTACGACGACGCCGCCGCCGACGACGACGACTCCGACGACGACGACGACGCCGACGACGCCGCCAGGGGTCGGCGGGATCGGTCCGTCGAGGGTCCGAGCTCGGCGGCGCGCCCAAGGGGGGAAGGCACGGAGGGCTTGCCTGCTCAGGAGGCTCAGAGGGCTTCCGGCCTTCCGAAAAGCTCCGAGGAAGGCCAGAGGGCTCCTGACCCAGCCCCCCTCGGGCACTGAACAAAAATCATGGCGAGAGGCTTTTCCATACTCTCGGCCTCTTGGGGCCCTCACCGGGCCTCGGGACCGTCAACAAAAAAGCTCGGGATGAACAACCGGTCTAGGGGAATGGGTCGAGACCCTTGAGGGTCGACGTTGTGGAAAATCATGGCGTCGGGGGTCTGGGGACAAAGCCTGCCCCCTCTCACTTCCTCCTCGGCGCGACGCCGACGTGAGGCGGAAGGCACGCGAGCAACACGGGCATCACGCCGCGGCAAACTCGTGTCGGGGCGACCCTGGCGTTAAGTCGGGCCTGTCCCCCTACAGGGGGATTTTCGTTGACGAGAACTCAAAAATACACCAAAAATAACCAAAACAAACCAAAAAATAGTCCTGGGACTTTTTTTAATGACTTTTTGGGGTATCTTTGGGGGTGTTCTCTGTTTTTCGTCGGAGATCCCAATGTAGGGGGACACGCCCGACATAACCCTGGCGGTGGCTTCAGCGATGGGTGGCTCTTCGATCGCCAGGTCCTTCCGTGCCGGCCGCGGTGTCGGAGGGCGCACGGGCAGGACGGCCTCGCGGGCGGTTCTCTGGCCTCCGGCCCCCGAGCTCCGCCCGAAGATGAGAGGAGGTCGCTCGGAACGAGCTGGGAGCCACCCTGCCGAGTGTGGCCCCGGATGCTGACCCCTCCTCCCTCCCCCTCCTCCTTTTCCTCCTCCTCCTCCTCCTCCTCCTCCTCCTCCTCCTGCTCCTGCTCCTGCTCCTCCTCCTCCTCCTCCTCCTCCTCCTCGTCTTCCTCCTCCTCCTCCTCCTCCTCCTCCTCCTCCTCTCCTCCCCCTCCTCCTCTCCTCCTCCTCCTCCTCCTCCTCCCCCTCCTCCTCCTCCCCCCTCCCCCTCCTCCCTCTCCTCCTCGTCCTCGTCCTCGTCCCTCGTCCTCGTCCTCGTCCTCCTCCTCCGCCTCCTCCTCCTCCTCCTCCTCCCCTCCTCCTCCTGCTCCTGCTCCTGCTCCTCCCCCTCCTCCCCTCCTCCCCCCCCCCCTCCTCCCCCTCCTCCTCCCTCGTCCCTCGTCCTCGTCCTCGTCCTCGTCTCCTCCTCCTCCTCCTCCTCTTCCTCCTCCTCTTCCCTCCTCCTCGTCCTCGTCTCGTCCTCGTCCTCGTCCTCGTCCTCGTCCTCGTCCTCTTCCCTCGTCCTCGTCCTCGTCCTTTTCCTCCTCCTCCTCCTCCTCCTCCTCCTCCTCCTCCTCCCTCCTCCTCCTCCTCCTCCTCCTCCTCCTCCTCCTCCTCTTCCTCCCCCTCCCTCCCTCCCTCCCTCCCTCCCTCCCTCCCTCCCTCCCTCCCTCCCTCCGGCACCAATCCCTCTTTAGGATCGGTGGCCACCAAGGTCAGGCGTGTGAGGGCGCGGCTAACGCCAACACTGTACACCCCCACGGCCTGCGGGCAACGGCCCCTGACCCAGGCCGGGGGGGGGCAAGGAAACTTCAGGACAACCCGGAACGAGGGGGAATGGGGGAGAGGACGGTTGCGCAGAATGCGCACCGGCAAGGGCGGCCCGGCAGGGGAAGGGGAGGAATGGGGGAAGGGAGAGGGGGACGGGGGGCGGCGGCGTTCGTTGGCGTGGTGGTGGTGGTCATGCTGGTGGTGGTCGTGGTGGTCGTGGTGGTCGTGCTGGGGTGGTCGTCGTGGTGGTCGTGATGGTGGTGGTCGTGGTGGCTGGTCGGTGTGGCCAATCTGCTGGTGGCGCTGGTGGTCGTGGTGGTCGTGCTGGTGGTGGTCATGTTGGTAGTCAGTCAGCTGGTGGCTGTGGTGGCCGTGCGGGCGGCGGTGGTCCTGAGAGTCGGCCGGGTTGGTACTGGTCGTACTGGCGGTTGGTCCCGTGGTGGTGATAGTGGCCAGCGCCTACCTCCCCAGGGCGCTCAGGATCATCTCAGCACTCCCTTGTTGTAGGGTGCGTGAGATGTCCCGCCAGACCCGGCTCAAGAGCTCGGACCGGTGGGCGTCCTCAAGAGAGGCGCCGTAGCTCCGAACGAAGCTTACTGCCTCGTCGGACGGCCGCCCCCCGGTTTCGAAGACCATCGGGACGAGGTCTAAGCCCTCCCGGGGGGGGGTACCGGCCCCGTTTGTCGTCGACCATCGGGGCTGCTGCGAGTCCGTTTCGTTCGGCTCGGGCGTGCCTGCGTGGGGCGTAGGTGGAGTGTACGCAAGTCACCGCCCAGTCGACGAAGATGGGTCGACCGGTGCTAGGGTCGTGTGTCCGGATGTCCATTTTTGCTTCTTGAATGACCTTGGTGTGGGGATGGCGGCGATCCCACGCTGGATCGTGTTGTTCCGTCGGAGCAGCATGACCCATGATATCCTTATGCATGCATGCATGTCGGTCCCGGAGGCGGTCGTGCCGGGCGGCGCGGGATTGGCCCACCTCGCATGACTTGGCATGGAACCCGTGTGGGTCGAGGGGCTCTCCGCGCAGCGTGCCGTCTTGTCGTCGGCGTTGGCAGCGCGAGCCGGCGGGGCAGACTGGCGCTTGCAGCCGGCACACGAGGTTCACCTCGAAGTGGTCGTATGGCTGCAGAGGGTCTCCTGGTTGTCGAGGTTGGAAAAAGGCCCCGGCGCCAACGCCGCCGCACTCCCGGAGCGCCAGCCGGTCTTTCCCAGAGGCTGCCTTGCCTTCTCGGTTGTTCCCTCCCTCCTCCCTCCTCCCTCCTCCCTCCTCCCTCTCCCTCCCC